TTGCTGACTGACTTGTCAGCTTTATGGCAGATGGTGAAGGTGATCAGCTCGTGGTCGCTGTCACCCAGCTTCCCTTCGATCATTAGGTCACTGATTAGGTAATCCCCAGTTGCCAGTACCAGGTCAGGGGTTCATGCAGAGCCCCCTATGCAGCATGGGGCAGTGGGGATCGCCCCCCACACAGCAGCACCTGCTGAGCCGGGGCTTTTTTCCGCCCAAGTGCTGGGAGCTGGGGTGGGCGAGGCAGCCATTGCTGGGCTGGGAGAGGGGTGCGGGATGGGCCTGGCCTGGCTGATTCAGCTGAATTGAATCAGGACAGTGATCTGAATCACCAGATCAATTCACTGTCCCCCGAATCAGTCGAATCCGAAGCGAATACTAGCTCCTTCGTGCAGGCCTACTGCCCCTGCCACTTGTGGCACCCATGCCACAGGTTAGCCACCCTTGCTATAAAAGATCCCATGGTAACAACAACAAAGGACTTAGGCTTTGTCTGATCTAGAAACGGTTTTAGGGATATCCTAGTGTACATGCAGCCAAGGACACTTATGACCGCATCTAAACTAGGGCTTTTGCCAGCAAATCTGTATTGATATGAGTCACACCCCTGCCTAAAACAGCTTTGTGTGCAAAGTGTAGAACAAGGGTATAGGTTGTGGCCTTGCTGGTCTAAGGACATACCTAAAGACCCATGTCTGCCTAAATCGGATATCTTTTATTTGACCAACTCAAATAGTTGGAAAAATTCTTCTTTGCAAGCTTTTGGGTATAAATACCCTTTGTCAGGCTAAGCATCTGCACAGACCAACTGCCGATGCTTCCTCAGCCTGACAAAGGATAGATATTTATACCCAAAAGCTTGCAAAGAAGAATTTTTCCAACTATTTGAGTTGGTCTAATAAAAATGTAGAAAAAGGAAGAAATATCGTATGTTAGCATAGATGCGTAGGGAGCCCTGGATGCAACTATCAGGAGGGGCTAAATACGAGGGGCTAAAATGTGAGCATATATGTAAGCTTCAAAGCTGAAAAGTAGTCCAGAAGAGATGTAGCAGTGGCTGAATGAAGAAAGCTAGGCTAGGAAATAGAGCATTTATCTATACTAAACCTGGCTCTGCTCAGTATTATTAGCCCTACATTTTCATCAG